AGAGACCAGTCCTTAGAGAGGGACATCATGCTTGGGAGGGTGGAGGGACAGCGCAGGAGAGGAAGGCCCTCTAGGAGGTGGATTGATTCAGTGACCTGAATAATTGGGATGGGAGTGTTGGAGACAGTGCGATTGGCACAGGATAGAGCGGAGTTTAGGGCTGTTGTACATAGGGTCACTATGAGTCGCAGGTGACTCGACGGCACATAACAACAATTCAGTTGTGATGCTGGAACATACCACGGACTACCAAAAGAACAAACATTTCTGTCTTGAAGATTAAGCCAAGGTGCTCCTCGGAGGCAAGGATTTTGAAGCTTTGTCTCACATACTTTGGGCACGTGGCCAGGAGACCACTCCTTGGAGAAGGAAATCATACTTGGACAGGTGGAGGGAAAGCACAAGATAAGACCCCGGATGAGATGGATTGACTCAGTGATGGGGGTATCGGGAGCAGGTGTGTTTGAGACAATGAAAATGGTTCAGGATAGTGCAGGGTTCAGAGCTGTTGTACATAGGGGATCATTTTGATAATTTATGTTTGCTGTGATTATCCACTATTTTTCCCCTCCAGCATCTGGTAGCTTTTATTTTACTGCCATCTGAAATTTGTCTTGCTTTTAAAACCCTAATTGGTATATTTTATTGGAATGGCATTCCGTTTTTAATTGAGGAAGATGGATGATAGCTTTATGATGTTGATTGACCCTTTTCAAGTACTCAGTATGACTTTCCACTTAAGTGTTCTGTGCCTATTGTGATGTTCTAAAATTTTCATTTAGACTTATTATGTTTTCTGTTGACTCCTGGTGATGCTTTAAGATTAAACTTCTAGAAAAACTGAGGTTGATGTCCTTCAGGCCATTTGAGCAGTTTGGATCCTCAAAAACTCTCTATTTAGGACAACACAACAACCTAAAGCCTGCACATAGGATCTAAATGTGACTTTGGGCCACTTTCCCATCAAACTTCTTGTTACAAACCCCTATACATTCAAGTCCCCAAACTGCATCTCTGTGCAGCAAGAAGAAAACACAGCTTCATTCTTCAGTACTCAACTCTCTTCTAATAGAGACAATTCTAAATTTTCTGCTGGAATCCACATGTGAAGGGGCAGGTACGTAATTTGGTAATCCACTGTTATGCTAGTTACTGACTGCTCAAAGCACCATTTTACTTCCCCAAGTGCCTTTAACCATTGATACAAGTTGATGGTTCATCTGTTTAGCGGCTAGCTTTCGGCTTTGGTTCTCCTTCTGGTTTTCTGATTTTGATGCCTTTCTCTTCTACACAAACATCAAATCACACTTGTAACTTGGCCTGGTGTCACAGAAATGCATTATCAAAGACTGGTTTGAATCATGGTTCTATGACCTAATAGCTAAAGGTGGAGCATATCACCTGATTGGAGTCTATGGCCACCAGCCTCACCTGGCTGTTTTGAGTAGCAGTGAAGGTCCCTGATAGGAAAACTACTAGTGGCTTAAAGAATGCCCAGACCTTCAAGACTTTGTAACATGTGCTTTCTATTCTGAGCCTGTTGGCTAAGACTAAGTCTTTCACAATTAATGTTTTGTTTATCTTTCAAGTCCTCTGCTGTGTCTACAGGGCTCACCTGGTTCTGAAATAATTTATAATAAACAAGGCCAAGTGAGTGACCCCCCATCTAACTGGGCACTTCCCACAAGTCTCCTTTCCTAAGGACAATATTGGCCATGCTCACCCCACCACCTTGAGTGATCACAGGATCATGAGATCTGAGAAAAGGTCCTAACAGGTCAATTCCTGTAACAGGAAGAGCCCACGCTCATGCTGCTTCCTAACACCACCAGAGTCACTCAAAGGGCTTTCCTCCAAGATCCAAAGATGTCCAGAACTCAAGTATGTCAATTCTCTGATAACCCACTGGGTACGGTACCTTGTGTATTTTTGCAAACACCTCCATAGAGTCTTAATTTTGTTCATATGCTCTCTTTCAGCTGACTTTAAGTTCCTGGAGATATCCAGTAATTTCCTAATCTAATATGAGGTTCAAGCACAGCAGTGATTATACGAATGGCACCAGTTAGGCAATGCTTCATTTTGCTGTACAGATTTACGATGAGTCAGAATTGATTAAACGGCACATCAAACTCGGCACAAAGCCTGCCAGAGAAACTAGACAA